AATCTCCTCATCATCCATCATGATGCTGCCAGTTGGCCCAGTGGTGCGAACCTTTGTTTGAGATCAAATCCATATTGAAGGCTGCAGTCCTTGACCTTCTGCAGCAAACACTTCGAGTCATCCCTAGTTTTAGCAAACAATGTTGTATCATCTGTATAACGTAGTTTGTTAATGAATCTTCCTTCAATCCTGATGCCATATACCTCCTAATATAGCCCAGCCTCATGCAAAATATTTCAGTGTTGTAATATTTTTTCAAATAATGAAGTAATGCTGAGTATTACACAGTAAATAAGCTAAACCTTCCATTTTCTTTTGATGCTTCCTAGATTACTCACTATTCGGCCCACAGCATCCTTAAATCATGTACCAAAGAGAACTGGCTGACACAAAAATATTTCATAAAATAACTTATATTCAAGAGGTAATGGTGATGAAGGAGGAAGTTCAAGTTTCTCTGGATGAATTAAATTAACAACAACAAAAAGAAGCCCCCAGAGATTGATGGAATACCAATGGACATATTTCAACAAACAGATGCCGCCTTGGAAGTGCTCACAAGGCTGTGTCAAGAAATCTGGAGGATAAGCACCTGGCCAATGAACTAGAAGATATTCATATTCATTCCCTTGCCAAAAAAAGGCGACCCAACAGAGTGTGGAAATTATCAAGCAATATCACTAATATCACATGCAAGTAAAATCCTGCTGGAGTTTATCCAAAAGTGACTGGAACAGAGACTTACCAGAAATACAAGCTGGCTTTAGAAGAGGTTGTGGCACTAGGGACATTATTGCTAATGTCATATAGCTCTTGGCTGAAAGCAGAGAATAACAGAGGAATGTCTATCTGTCTTTCATTGGCTATGAAAAGGCATTTGACTGTGTGGATCACAACAAATTGTGGCTAACCTTGAGATATGCAGAACAGATCATTCAATAGGCTGGACTTCATGAGGAAAAATATGGCGTCAGAATTGGAGAAAGACTCATCAACAACCTGCATTATGCAGATGACACAACCTTATTTGCTGAAACAGAGGTTGGCCTGAAGCATCTGTTGCAGAGAATCAAGGATAGTAGTTTGCAATATGGATTGAAACTTAACATCTAGAAAACATTCTCACCACTGGACCAATTGGCAGCACCATGACAGAGAAGACATTGAGATTGTTAACAATTTCAGCTTGCTCAGCTCTATAATCAACACTCTTGGCACCAGCAGTCATGAAATCAAAAGTCACATTGTATTAGGAAAATCTGCTGTCAGAGAGTGCTGAAGAGCAGGGAGCAAGGATGTCAGTCTAGAGACTAAAATGTGCTTGATCCAGGACTGTTCACTGTTGTTGTTGTTGTTGTTATGTGCCGTCGAGTATGGTCTTGGCAGTTACTTGCAGTTCATGAGGGAGCTGGACAGTGATCAAGGCTGAGAGAAGAAGAATTGATGCCTTTGAGTTGTGGTGCTGGAGAAGAGTTTTGAACATACCATGGACTGCCAAGAGGACTAACAGGTCTGTCCTGGAGAAGGTGAAAAAAAGCTGGTCCGTGGAAGCAAGGATTTTGAGATTCTGTCTTGCATACTTTGGACATGTAGCCAGGAGGGACCAGTCTTTGGAGGAGTATATCATGCTTGGATGGGTTGCGGGGCAGCACAGGAAAGGAAGACTCTGCATGAGATGGATTGACACAGTTACTGCGGTAATGAGAGTCAGTGTGTCAGAGACAGATTGGCTCAGGACAGAGTAAGATTCAAAGTTACTGTGCATTCAGTCACTGTGAGTCGTAGTTGATTTGACGGCATGTAACAACAATAACAACCTAAAACCGGATGTAGACTATTAATCTTTTCCATATGTTAATATATTGGAGTTGTTGTTGTTGTAAGGTTCCATAGAGTAGTATACAACTCATAGCAATCCTATGAGTATCCAGCCACAAAGCTGCCCTATCCAGTGCCATCCTCACCATCCCTGGCATGCTTGAGCGCATTGCTGAAGTCACAATGTCAGTCTATCTCACTGGGGGATCTTCCTCTCCTTCAGTGACCTTCCATCTTTCTAAGCACTATGTTCCTCTCCAAGGAATAGCCTTGCCAAGATACACATCCAAAGTATGAAAAATGAAGCTTTGCCTTCTTTCCAATGAGTACTCTGGCTACACCCTTTACAGGATAAATATGTTTGTTCTTTTGCCAGTGTATATGATATTCTGTACTATTCTCTAGCACCACAAAATACACTCACTCAGGACAGTTTTTGAAATGTGCTCACAGTCACCTTAACCTTCAACCTCACAGCTTTAAGCTCTTAGTCTTGCCAGTTTGGGCTCTCCCTGACTCCATCCTTCAATAAACTTGGGCAAAATCTCCTAGTTCTGGTTCCATGTGGTGAACAGTCCCAAGGCCCACTCTGTCTCACATGAGTCCTCTGGTTCTCTGCTGTGGCTGCTATGACTGCTGTTTCCATAGGCTTTGGTTTGGCTGGCACAAGAATCTCTGGCTCTGGAGGATGTGCTGTATTCTCGTGCTTCTTTGCTAGTGCTAAGATTATCTCAAATCTGCCATTGAATCTGCTCAATTCACTGGTAAGACTGGCCAATCCCCTTGTAGATAGGCTAACATACTTTATTTTCATATCCTTATCCACTTTGCAAAGTCAAACTCAATGGCTAGGAAAACCATTTTGAACAATAAACCTTTGAGGTCAGTGGGAAGGGAGGATGGAGTTTGTTAGAAAAGTTCTTGCTAATAAGGAAATCAAAGAAATTTGAAATAGAAACAACTCTTTATGCTGCCTTTAGGATTACATGAAGTTATATATGTAAATCATATAGCAGTGATTGACTCATTCTCAGCACTTTCTATAGAATAGTTTAGTTTAATTAGTTTCATCAAGCCCAGGGAACTCATTTGCTGTTTATTTTACTGATTTAGTGTAGTTTCTTCTCATGTTTTCATGCCTGCCGTATTTGCTTGACTCCTGCTCTTTCTTTGGGGTTCCTGAAAAAGGGTCTTAGAGTTTTGGTGGGATGCATGGTGCTTCAGTTATCATCTTGCTGTTATTTATCATTCTGTGTTATAATATCCTGCTTCTTTGTCTGGATTCCCCAGTGAATGGAGTTCAAGGCAGTAAGATGTATTGAATTCCTGGCCTAGAGCCTCCATGTGAGGCTCTGTATGAGCTCAAGGAATATTTATGGAATTAAAAAAAATTATAATTTTGCAGTCTGTTGAGAAAATACAAAATGGCAAATAGCTACTTTGATCTCAGTGATACTTTCACATTATCATATATTTCTGTCTATGTTTAGAAATGAAAGTACATATGTGAAGCATTGTTCAGACTTTAGATGATTATTTGATTTGACTTTTGAAGGGAAGACTTTATAGGTTGAAAACTATGTAGAACTAATGCATAATTTTTAGGCTTCCTCCTAATTTGTCCTTTCATTGTCCTCTACCTCCTGCAAAATACTACCCATAGCTAATATTTGTTCATTTTGGGAGGAGATTTTTGGGTGAATCCTAATGTGTTCCATTTCTAAGCAGAAGTGAATGTGTGCCCACAAGTAAAAGGACCAGCCCTCAAGAGATTTGAAAGGGAAGTTGGTTTAGGGAAAAAGCAACAATGATTCTTGTAAAAGGTTCGCCCATCTAGCCCAACAAATAAACCATAGATTATCACTTTAGCTCTCTAAACTCAGAGACTTTAGTTGTAGCTTTTCTTTATATGTTACCCAGAGTTGCTTTGTTCATATGCCTAGAAGTCCCCCACAGACAAATTATTCTAAACTCATGTGTGCATACAGTGAAGATTTATAAAGTCAGAAACCCAGTGAGAGGAGAGCGATAAGTTAGTTTAACTTGACAGCAATAGATAAGAGAGATACATGTATATGCACATGTTATTGTTGGTGCTCTCAGACCAAATACAACTCATAGTGACTCTTTGAAGAGCTGACCTGAAACCTGCCCTGTCTTGTGCTATCCTCATCATGCCTGATATACTCATGCCCGCTGCTGAAGTCACCATGTCAATCCATCCCATTGGAAGTCTTACTCTCCTTCTCTGGCCCTTTATCTTTCCAAACATGATATCCCTTTCCAAGGAATAGCCTCACCTGACTGTATGTCCTAAGTATTAAAGACAAAGCTTCACCATCTTTGCACTCCAGCTGAACTTTTTACAGCACATATCTGTTCATTTGAAAATCCATACTTTTGATAATTCATTACTCTTCTCTGACACCATATCTCAAAGGCATCTGTTCTTCTTCTGTCATCCTTATTCATGTTCAGCTCTCTGATGCTCGTATATACATACATGTAATATTTTTACAGTGCTGAAAATGTTAA